GAGACTGCAGCCTTGCTCACCTCGGCTGGGTTGCAGGCACAATCGCTTTGATTTTAGACTGGCGTTTACCTTTCTTACCCCCATCCTGCCAACCGCTCTCCCCCCACCCCCAACTCTGCCTTCTCCAGTTTGCCAGAGAAGGGGGTGGGCAAGATTTCTTCTATCATACTGAGAAGACTGCCTTCCTCCCTCCTGTCCCCTGCCCACACCCCACCCACACTTGTGGGGACTTGGGGAGTTTCCCTTCAAGGCTGAGCTACCTGGGGATAGGCTGATAGGCAGCCAGAGTCAAAAATAGGGCACACAAGGAAGGAAAGCTTGACAGGAAGTCCAAATAAGCACTTCCTCCCACCCACCTTTGAACTTCTGAGTATCTCAGTTAAAACAGCAGAGAAAGACAGAGAGAGAAAATGAGAAATATCATATTTTTCATATGTAGATGAGGAAGTGGAAAATTTCTCTCCTCGTGGCCCTGTAGGCAGTGGTGGTTCATGCTTTCCTCACGCCATCCTTGGATGGAGAAGGTGAGGGCTGTGCCCACATGGGAGCAGGGACTTGGGGTGGGGGTCTGGCAGGAGAGAGCAGCAGTGTGGTCTGGGAAAGGGTTGCTGTGGGCTGGCAGGAGTCTGTGCCCCCTCTTCCCACCCACAGCCTCTAGCAGCACTGTAAGAGTGGCCCAGCACATGCCAGGTGGATGTCTGCATGGCTGGCGAGGCTTCCTGACCTGCTATTCCCAGGCAGCATCATGGCTCCTGGTCCTTACTCTGTGGCTGCCTGGGTTTGGCACTACCCTGCCCAGCCCAGCGGTCAGGACCCTGGCTTTCTTTGCTCACCCCTTCTGTGTGGGCAGAGTTCTTTGCCATCCAGAAGGATCCTACACATGGCACCTCCACTGCCAGCCTCTACAAATGGAGGGCAAAATTGTTCCCTCCTAGTGAGGGTGGCTTGCGCAGCTCTCACCTTCCCCTACAGGTGAACACATACAGGCCCTAAAGAGAATTCCAACAAAATTCATCTCAAAAGATACATTAAGCATTAAGAAGCTTGCCATGGAGATGAGGTCAGGATGTACCCACACAAGGATATTCTCTCTGTTGCCCACAGCCCAACCAACTTTCTCTCTGTCCCCCACCAACATCCTTCATCCAGATCAATTCCACACACTTCCTCCCTTTCACCTTCTAGTGATGTAAGTTTCTCTCCTAAGAAAGTCAACACAATCTCTCCCCCAAGGTCACCACCTTCATTTCCCCTGGTCTCTAAGACATGGCTCCTCAGACCCTTCCCTTCCCCCACCCCACCTCCCACAGAAACTACAACTCAAGTGTCTTCTAATTAATCACATGTTTTTCTCACCTGTAAAATGAGCTTTGGTGAAAGCTCATTTGACTTGATTTGACTATAGGAGAGAGGGAGAAAGTCTGAACAGGGTGGGTGGGGCAGGGAAGGATATGGGGGCGAGTATCTACTCTGGGGTTCAGTGTGCCAAAGACTACACATCACTGTCTGCAAGTCTGGCTTTCCTGCCCATAAGTCTGTGACTTCCCCTTCCTGGAGCCCAGCCTAGTGCACTAGGTCACCTTCTTTCCTGTCATGCTGACCACCCCCTGACTTCCCATGCAGTGCACATCACAGATCCTCCACTGACTTTTCTTTGCTCCCTCATGCTTTCTGGGTTTCTCCACCTGGTTGGAGGAGAGATGAGAGAGGATCCTACTATCCAAGCCACAACATTCCACCACTGCCCTTGGAGGCTTGCCATTTCCTGCTCTGCTCCACGCTTTTAGCCAGCACATGGATGCTTTTAGGAGGGTCAGGTGTGTTGGCCTCAACATTCATCCCTGCAGCTGCCCCTCCTCCACCGGGGACTGTACCCACAGGTGGATGTCACAGCTGCCTGCTGAACAGGTAAGGGATGTTAGCAGCTGCCAGGACACTATAACACCCGTCCTTCTAGCAGCCTAATCCTCTCTTGGCGGCTAACTGGCTAGCTCCCAGAGCTTCTGGAACCCTCTGAGCAGAGACAGATTTTTTTGTGAAACTCACTTTTGAGTGTTGGGAAAACACCGACTCTGGGGGAAGAGGAAAGACTTCCGACCCGAAACCACCAGCTTCCCCTGGCGTCACCGCTCACTTCCTAGCTGTTTCCAAGGATGGGCCTGTGGTTCCAGACGGGGTGCCAGAGGCCCCCCTGGCATGAAGTGCTGCATCCTCTCCCATAGGTCCAGACTGACAACCTCACTTGATTTTTCTAGACAGCACATGCATAGATTGGAAACCATACAGGCTCCAGGGGCAGAAGTGTGTTTGAATTCCTAGTCCACCTTGAGCCATATGGGTAATATCTCAGTCCTGAGGTAGCAGGGACTTAAAGGACAGGGACTCTGGACTTAGACTGGGGACAAGATTGGCTGCCCCACAGCTTGCCAGGAACAAGAGAGCAAATGCTTTGTCTCTCCAAGTCTCAGTCTTTTCTTCAGTAAAGTAGGAGTAACCACAGTGCATCAATTAAATAAGATGATTAGTGCAAGCTTCTTAGCACACTCCATGTCATGTGAAGGATTCCAAATATTGCATTTATGATGATTCTTATCATCACTGCCACTGTCATCAAGTGTATTAGCTTGTCTGTCTGCTCCACTAGCCCCGTGAATTCTCAACTTGGTCATATTTACTAGATAACTTCCAAAGGAGCCTACTATGCTTTAATTCCAATTACTGTTCATCTTAAGTAGAAATGAACATTATTCAGGAAAAAAAATTGCTTCAAAGGATGATCTTGACTGTTTTTTCCACCAGTGTTGTATTTCATTTGCTCACAAAGTACACACCCATATACACCCATGCAAGCATGGCTTCACACACACATGAACACACACATGCATACACATATGCACACACACATACACACATGCACACACATACACATTTGCACACATGTCCAGCATGGCCTCTTCCCAATGCTTCTTCCAAGGCCCTGTTTAAATTCCAGCTTGTTTCATGGCCTCTTTGCCCAACTTAAAAGTGATTTCCCTTTCTTCTTTTCTTTTCCCATGCTTTTTATCATTTGCCACCATCCTGGTGATGTGAAGAGCAAATTGACCTCTCCTACCTTGCTCAGTGGTGGTGCTTTTAAACAGCATGGCTGTGCTGTATCAAGGACAGTTGCTGAGCATTCTAGGGTACTAGCCCTGAAAGGAGGTGTGCTCCACAAACTGGGTGCTGGGCCTGGATAATGCTCCTTAGATAGTGCAAAACATTGTGTTTAGCCAGAACTATCCTTGAGAAAGTTTCTTGAAGACCACACCTCCAGCCCCAAAGTAGCATCACTTAGTGCAACAGAACTCAGTTCTTTCCTCAAGCATCAGAACAGATGGTTGTGTGTGTGTGTGCGTATGAGAGAGAGAAAGAAAGAGAGACTAGACAAAGTGGTGAACTTAGGCTTAGAAGCTGCAACATTGTGCAGGTTAGTTTGCAGTTAGACATTGAGGTGCTGAGGCTCAGAGGAGTGCACAGGAGCTGAGCCTGACTAAGAAAACAACAGATTCTCATCTTCTATCATAGTGCCAGCTCCAGGAAGATGCTGTTTGGAAGGACTACATGGAGGACATTAGAATAGAGTAGACTAGACTAGACTAGAGTACAATGGAACAGGTGGTGGAACACTTGGTGAGATCAATATATGGTAGTATGATAGCAGTTATTTTTTCCTTAATGTTTTCTTTTTGCATGTATCTAGTTAAATGCCTCTGCATTTTGTGTATAGATGAGACAATTCCTCTGTTTTCCTGCTTTACAGATATGGAAATAAAGATTCTCAAGAGTTCAGGTCTTTGCCCAAAGGTGCACGCCATGTTTCCGCAATATCATATCAGACACTAAGTGAGGGTCTGCCCAGTCAGCACCTTCAACAGCCCTCGGTGCTCTTATAGAGCAGATCTGCAAACTGATAGGCACCCCAGATTCTAGCTATGGAAACTGAGATTCCGATAGAGGAAGAGGGCTAGCCAGGCAAGGGCAGAAGCCAAGCTTGGGGCATTGCTGAGACCTGAGAGCTGCTGTTCTGTCTTCCAGCCTTGGAGATGCTATAGGATCCTGTGTGGGTCATCTGTTGGCGGGACCACAGGCCACTCACCTGCCAAGTTCAGGACCAGAGAATCTTCTTGTAGTATCCACAAGGAGGCAACTAAACAAATCTCAACTTTGTCCTTTAAAGAGAGAGACCCTCTTCCTCTATTGGAGTGTCAGTTTCCATAGCTAGAATCTGGGGCTCCTATCAGTTTGCATATATGCTCTATAAGAGCACCCAGGGCTGGCTATGGAAGGTGCTGACTGGGCAGACCCTGACTTAGTGTCTGAGATGGCATTGCGGAAGCATGGCGTGCACCTTCGGGCAAAGACCTGAACTCTGGGAATCTTTATTTCCATATCTGTAAAGCAGGAAAACAGACAAATTTTCTCATATATTAACCAAAAAAATGTGGTTGGCAAACACTAAAAAGCCATCCCCTTCCCTCCCCTCACCCCTGCAGTTCACTGATGTGTGAAGTTGTCTATATTTTAGGTCAACCGTCAAACTAGATTTTCATCTGCAAAGATCCAGGCAGAAGGGATGTGGTGTAGACATGGCTGCCAGGAGTTTGCATGGACATGTACTTGGCCTCCTGGTGGGAGTTGAATTTCCCCTTCATTGCCCCTCCCACTAGGCTGGGGTGACTGGGGGCCAGTGGGGAATTACCAAGTCTGCTCCTCTCTCCGCCTCTCCAGTCCTCAACACTGGGCTTCCTTGTTTACTTATTTAGAGCCCAGCAGAGGAAGTGGTAAAGGAAACTCGCTGAGTCGTTTTCTGAGAAGAGACCATATTTGTTCGCAGAGGAAGTTGTTGCTTTCTGGGATCTGGTTACAGTAGAAGATACATCAACTTCAAGGCTGTGCTGGGGTTAACGAGAAGTTGGGAGTGCCAAGGACAGCTCTGCACTTTGGATTTGGGGTCCCCTCTCCATGGGTGCAGCACCCATGCTCAGCTTGTGAGCTTCACCCCAGGAGAGCAGCCATGGCATTGAGGAACGTACCTTTTCGCTCAGAGGTCCTGGCCTGGGACCCCGACGACCTTGCAGACTATTTCAAGAAGGTGAGCCTGGCTCTTCTGGGGTTGGTGGGGCCAGTGGAGCTGTCAGTGGGCTGGGCAGAGGCTTGAAGCTGGAGCCCAAGCAGAACACGAGAAGCATATGAGATAGCAATGGAACGCCAGCCAGTGGCCCCCTCGCCAGCTGAGCGAGTGTCATGTAGATGCAGCACCGGGTATTTCCGCAGTGTGAGAAGGGAACCCTCATGTGAACTACTATGCACCAGGGCTTGAAAATGTGGCCTCCGGGCCGTGTCCCATTTAATACACCTCAGTATTGTCTTCCTGAGCTCAGCTGCAAAATAAGTTCAGGTTGGTGAGAAGGCCCCAAACCCCAGGGACTACTTGTGATCGGGGCAGGAATCCAGTCATGCTTGACTAGTCTCCCAAATCCGTGCTCGGAGACTCAGAACTGCTGTAACCACTGAGACCAGGGTATTTTCTAGACAGGGGAGGAATAGAGAAGGTTATAAGCAACTGGGGCTAGAGAAGGAAAGTGAAGGTGGGCAAGGTGAAGCCAGCTTTGAGTGACTGTGCTAGAGATGGCATCTGCGCAGTCATCACTCCTGGGCTGCAAGTGGGCTCCTTGAGCCTTTATATGGGACAGAATCTCACTGGCCCTTTACGAGGGTCTTAGAGAACAGAGCCAGAAACTGACAGGAGCCCCAAATTCTAGCTAGGGAAACTGAGGCTCTTGTAGAGGAAGAGGGCTAGCCAGGGAGGGGCAGAAGCCAATCTTGGGGCAGAGCTGAGACCTGAAAGCTGCTGTCCTGCCTTCCAGCCTTGGAAATGCTGGGTCATCTGCTGACAGGACAACAGGCCACTCACCTGCCGAGTTCAGGACCCTCTATCCTTGTCCAAGGAATCTGATGTCTTGTGAGGGACATGTGTGCTTCTAACACCCCTATTTGGTTGACACTCCAGATCATGGTAAAGATGAGGTTTTGAAGTCGAAGCCATAGAGGTCATCTAAGTCAGCTTGCTATTTTTCCTGGGGAACTGGATCCCAAGAGTGTGGACAGGCACCCTAGGACACATAGCCAGACATGAGGAGGATACCATAGCAAGTGGTCACAGGTGCTGTCCCCAGCCTAAAGATGAAAAATCCCACTGTGAACCAGGTATGGTGTAGGTGAGGCAAGGCCCACAGATTCTATTATTTGATGCTTTTTGTGGATTTCATTTCTGTTACTTTTCCTCCAAAGGATCATGATAAACTTAGGTTTCAACATTGTGGGTGCAAAGACTGGAAGACTGGATTTTGGGGAACGTTGCTAAACACTTTCCTTAAATATAGACCAATAAACTAGGGCAAAGATGTGGAATTTCCCAAGCTGTTCTGAAGTGTCATGTTAACCAGAAAAGAAGAAAAAGATTGAGAATTACTAAAGGAAACGGGGGGACAGGCTGAGAAACACAGACAAGCCCCATTTTCAAGTGTGGAAGAGAATTACACAATTCAGCCAAACAACAGACTCCTTAGGTGACATTCCCCTTAGAGCAGTGAGATGATTGTTGGGGCTGATTCAAGGAGACAGTTAACTGAGTTGGGGGGAGGACTTTCTTCTTTCTTCTTGCAGACTGCAGACCCCAGGGCAAGTCTATGGCACTGGGACAAGTACCTCCTCTCAGCCTAAAAGGACAGATAGCAAGAACAAAGAAACAGGGGAATCTGGGGTCTGGCAGGTGGTGACCCTCCAGAGGTTCCGAGAGAGACCCTTCAAATCCCAAGAATCTCTGCCCCTCAGAAGGAAAATTCTAAGTGTTCATACTGTAGGATTGGAGCTTAGCCATGAATCCATCCCAAGGATGAATTGAGATACAATTTCTAGTGAAGCAGAGATGTCAGGTTTCTTTGGAGACATCTCCTCAGCCAACTCTGGAGTCAGACATTTTGAAGCCTAGCTCTGATCTACTATGTGGTGATACCCCCTTAGTTACTTCTCTGCCTCATCTTCCTCACCAGTAATGTAGGGGTACTAATAGTAACTAACCTCTTGGGATTGTTGGGAAAATAAGAGAAAATAATTCATGTGAAACATTTAGCAAAAGGGAGCCAATGCATATTCATGTTATCTTCTTCTCTTCCTGGGCTGTTTACTGGACCCTAGTGGGGGGTCACCAGCAGACCAGCAGGCCTTTGTGTCTTACTGTCTCAGCCGTGTGTGGAATGTGAGTCTCTGACAAGGATTGTTATGCATTTCTGTTGCTCCTCAAGTTCCCCTGACTTGTCAGGAGAACATCCCTGAGCCATGCAGTGGAGAGACATGACTCTGAGTCACGAGTTCTAATCCTAGCAGTGTTCCCCACTCACTGTGTGATCACTGTGTGATCTTGCTTCCTCTGGCCTCAACTGTCACATCTCAGCAATCTAGGCAACTGCTCTAGGTCAGTGCCTGCTGGTGCTGGGTGCTCATAAGAATCATCTATACGCTTCTCAAAAATACAGATTTTAACCCCTGCTCCCAATTGTTAATGGACTGGAAGCAAAGCTCTGGGTAGGTTCTAGTCCATCTAGAGTTGAAGTCAGTGCTATAAAGAATCAGATGTTCCAAAAATAATGGTGATACTGAAAAAGAATAGATTAAGGCATATTCCAAGACCCAGTTACCTACCTCCTCACGCTGCAAGTAGATGGGAGGAATGTCCAAGCCCTCAGATGCTACTTACTTTCCACACTGACCTCAAAAGTCAGCCTTTCCTCAGCTTCCTAATATTCATCTTACCCTTTTAAGCCAACAGATTAAGGCAGCTGAATTCACTTTTTAATTTTGTTGGTCATAGAAATGAGCATGATTTTAAATTTGCTCCAGGAAAAAGAAAGAAAAAAAAAAACTGCTACAAACTTGACCCATACTTGTGAGGGAACCTAATTCTCAAGAACAAACATTTTAACCTTCAGTGCTGCAGCCTGAAACATTAGATTTAGAGAGCTGTCTATGCTGTGGAGAACAAGCCGAACAGGCAGCTCATAGGATTGTCCACTGGAAATAACTCTTTTGGAGCAACAAAGACACTAACCATGTTCATTCCTCTGAAACTGCATTGACATTCCAGCTTAAAGTTTTTCCGCCCAGGAAACTTTAGGCAGTTACTTGACTTGCCACACCTTTAACATCCCATCTGAAAAAAATTAGTGGGCATTATATGATTTAAGATGGGTTTAACCACTGAGAACAGTGCCTGACAGATAGCAAATGCTCAATAATTATTTGCAGTTTGTCATTTTTGGAACACTAATTTGGGAAGCATCATAAATATTCTGCTATCAGAGAGTCATTAAATTAAAATAACTATGCAATAATGAGACTTCTCTCATCATTTTAAGAGGAAAAAAATCCAGCAAACAAGATAGAATACAAATATTTTCTTCACTTTTAGAAAGATGTATTTATTTATGCACATAAGAACTGAGGTACAAGCCAGAGTTGCTGCAGGGTGAGAGGATTCACCAGAGACAGAGTAGGGAGCAGAACAGGTGGATCCACTGAAATACACTGCTGAGAGGAGCAGCGGGCGGGTCAGAAGAGGTCTGCTGTACCATGTGGGTCACCTCCCTGACCAGGGATCGAATTCATGCTGCAAGACTATAAATTTTAATCTCAGTTATGTGTAGAAAAATGCCAAGAATAAGGCATTGAAGCAAATACCTCACAATGTTCTCCAAGTTGCTCTTGAGTGGTGTAACAGTGGAGGGATTTATTTCCTCTTTCAGCTCCCCTCTCCTTTCCTGAGGAGCCAACTGGCCAGTCTTATGTAACCTTGAGGATACTCTCTGCAGGGGTTGGCCCCAAAGTCTTAGATTGAGGCGAGTTCTCCATTTCAGTGTCCCAAGGGGCTAGTGAAAGCAGGCTGAGGTAGGTATGGGGCCCCTCTGTTAGTCAGGGGGAGAGGAGGTGTCTGGCTAGCCACAAGTACCACAAATTGCTAAGCTTCTGGGGCAGGCAAGGGAGGGGAACCAATGGCATGGGCCTACCTGCCACTGACAGCGGCTTCCCGTCCTCTTTGCAGCTGAACTACAAGGACTGTGAAAAGGCAGTGAAGAAGCATCACATCGATGGGCCGCGGTTTTTGGTAAGCACTGGCCAGTCTGATACAGCAACTCCAAGCTGTCCCGCTCTTTCCACAATGGCTGCCAGGCCAGTGTGCCAGCTCTGACTCTGGGGTTGCCCGGAGTCTGTGGCTATCTTCAGGATCCCCACACAGCCCTTTGCCTTCTTCCAAGGGTTTGTAAGACCCCACTCTCGTTACCAGTCGCCATCCTTCCAGATCCTTCACTGATACCAAAGTACCTTCTGAAGTCAGAAGATTGGGAGGAATTCAGATATTTAAGTACATACACACATGTGCTTGTGCACCGTGAAAATGTATGCCAATATGTTCATCTTTTGAGAAGCCCTGGGGGAAAAGGTTCTATAGAATAACAAAAGATTCTTTTTTCCCATCTCTCAGTACATACACACTGAACAGAATAAAAGGCCATCATCCTCATTGTTTCAATTCTACCTCCTCTCTCTACCAAATCCACACACTCCTCTTTGTGAAATGTGATTTGTGACATGGCTCACCTCACCCCATCCAGAGCAAAAAGATCTAAGAGAGCGAAGTGGTGGGATGGAAGAGCCAAGGCACCAATGGGATGCAGGCTGATGGTGGCAGGTGTAGAGGCTGGGGCGAATCTGAGCCAGGTCCCTAAATGGCATCTCTGCTGATGGGTAAGAGAGCTCCCAACTGCAATGATGCCCCCTTTCCCATCTGTTCCTTCATATTATGTTAAGTGAAATAATTCAAAAGTGAAAGATATCGGGTGGTTTCTCTCACCTGTGGCTTGTACATAGCCCAAAAACATACACAGCCAAAGCACAGTAGGGATTGCTCTTGAGCGCTGTGAAAGAATGTGATGGTTTTCAGAGGGAATGGGGTGCCAAGGGAAGAGGCACTGGAGGATGGACGTGGGGTGTGGGCATGGGTGGTTTGGGGCAGGTGGTGTAGAACCTGTGTACTTATGGAAGAGCAAAATGTAACCCCAAACATTAAAATAAAATACAAAAAAAAAAAAAAAAAGAAGTGGGAACAAGGCTTCAACAGTCTCCCGCGGTTATTTTCCCAGTACAGATTCAGAGTGAGAAGAGAAAGCTCAGCTGTGTTTCCCGGCAAGACCTTCTGAGCAGCAGTGAGGGAAGTGGACCCTGAGACTTTGAGGTCACAGGGCCAGAAGATGTCACTTGCTTTAATTTTCTAAAATCCTTTTACACACCAGACCATGTCATATGCTGGGGATAGAGGTGACTGAGATGTGATTTCTGCCTTACATAAGCTTCTTCTACTCATAAAGCCCATTCCACATCCGTTCATCCCCTATGTTGTTGCACTGATATCTGCTGTGCCACCTGCTCCTTTCTGAGCAGCCCTGAGTCTCAGGCTGAGCCCAAACCTGTGCTTCCATTGCTCAGAGTTTTGCTTTCCTGATCCCACAGGGAACTGTGTTCTCTGTCCCAGTTAAATCCCTTGTCTGCTCCCCGTCCGTTCACTCGACACGTGTTTTCTAAAATCCTTTCACATACCAGACCACGTCATATGCTGGGGATAGAGGTGACTGAGATGTGATTTCTGCCTTACATAAGCTCCTTCTACACATAAAGGTGTCTTCAGGAAGGCTCCAGTCATCGCACTGGCAGATGAGACAACACGTGCAGAGGTGTGATGTAAGCGGAGCCAAAGTCACACACCTAGTAATGGGACTCAACACATCTGGTCTGCCAGCACCTGTGGTTCTTAGAATTAATTCTTTCTTTCTTTTATAGTGTATTTGTACATCATTTTGCATTTTCCCATCTCAGTTGTAAGCCCTGTGGGCTTTCCATCACCAAATCACCATAAGGAATGCTTTCTTTTTACATTGAAATTTAAGACAACAGAATCCATGGCATTTTGTCATTGGCCTAGTCAAACTTGGCAAACCCAAATCTTTCCTTCTGGAGCCTTTGGCACTGAGAATAGGGCCTGTGAGGGCCGAATGGAAAGGGAGGAGGACATCTTTGAGCATGATGTTCAAGCACTTGAACAAGCACTTGGCTTCCTTGAGCCTCTCCTTGCTCCCTCCTTTGTTGACTAAATGCAAGGACCCACTTGTCCTGGATGACAGCCCCTTCCATCTCTGTAAGTCCCCCCAGAAGCCCACTGTGAATCCCAGGTTTTGGTTGAGCATGTTTCCTTAGTTGAGAGATAGTGTCTGAGTGGCTTTATCACCTCGGCTCCAACCCTGGCACCTGCCTGTCCCTCAGAACAGGAGCAAGTAGACAGAGAGGTTCCTGGGCCCAGTGCAGCACAGAGGACAGATGCCTGAGGCATTTAAAGGCAGCTTCTGCTCAAGCCAATCCTCTGCTCCCTGTGCTTTGGGTACAAGTTGAGGTCTCTCCTGAGCTTTCATATATAACTCATATATTCTGCTAATGATGGTGGAAATGGAAGAACCTAGCTCCTTCTTATCACCTTCCTTCTCTTTTTTCCTTCCCCTCCTCCTCCTCCCTTTTTACTTCCCTCTTCCTCCTGTGGCTCTTCTTCCTCCTCTTCCTCTCCTGCTTCCTGTTCCTCTTTCTCCTCCTCCTCATTGTTATGTTTTTTTCATTCCCTCTTCTTCCTTCCTTTCTTCTTTAGCTAGTTCCGTTGAATCTCTTTTGCCACCATTTTTGTCTTCTAGTGAGAAGAGTGGGTCTTTATCTGGTGGGGAATAAGGGTGCCAAGCTTCCAGGAGGTTGAAGAAATGGAGGAAGCTGTGTCAGTAAGAAAGACATGTGGTTGCATGTAGCAGAAACCTGACCATGGTGGCTTAACCAAGTAGGGGTCTAGCTTTCTTAGGTGGTGAGAAGTCTGGAGGAGGGTGCTCAGAGTTGGTGGGCTGAGAAGGAACCCAGAACCCATCTAGTCTATGGAAAAAGCCAGTGGCTTCTATCCTCATGGTTGCAGTTTTGATGGCTCTGTCTCTTGGTATCACATCTGCATTCCAGGCAGGAGGAAGTGGAGTGGGGGCAGGAGACAAAGAGTAAAAGAAACAAAGGTGCATGAAGAATAGTCACTCCCTCTTTATTTTCAGAAAAACAATACCTTTTCCAGAAGCTCCTTCCAGGAGACTTCAGATTATAGCTCACTGGCCACAAATGAATCCAGTGATGTCAGCCATCTGGATGGAGTCTAGTGTCTTCCATATTTTGAAAAAAAAAAATTCTAGGTGCTGTCAGAAAGGGGGAAAGAGGGATTAGATGTTGGCTAGTCAAGTTACAGTGTCTTCCATGTCTCCTCCCCAGAAGGGGTCCAATTTGCAGCTTTTCTTTCTTTCCTGCATCTCCCTGAGCATACGACCACCCTGCAGAGACCCAAGCTTAACCGGAGTCGTCATTTAAGGAACCCAGACTTTGCTGAGGGTTTTGGAAGGAGCTGGAAGAGGTTACATCACATAACCAAACCCACCTAATGTGCTATTTAAACATCTTCTCTGTCTCCTCCCAGTTCCTGTCCCAGCTCTAAGCTCCGTTCTCTTTCCTAAGATCCTGCTCCTCAGTGTCTCCACCAATCTCACATCTACATTCCTCCTCACACTCTTCCCAAAGTTCCTCTGGCTCATGTCCTCAACTCGGCAAAACAAGGCAATGGCCAGCCTGCCTTCCCCCCTCCGCCCAGGAAGCCCTCACTCATTCGTGTCCTTTGGATGGAGGAGATAGTACTGTTCAGCAATGTTTGTTGTTGTTGTTGTTGTTGTTTTAAAGAAAGAAAGAAAAAGAGAGGTTAAGAATCTTTACCTAAATCCTAATTCTCTCAGGCCCTGGCCTTGCCACAGATGGTCTGACCAGGGACTGAAAGAGACTCTGGAGACCCAACCCCTGCGCCAGCTGGCCTTAAAGGGAAGTTCGCCAGCTCTTCCCAGTGGTAGCAAACAATCTGCCAAGCTGTCCGCTCAGAGAAAGGAAAGCAAACATCTCAACCTCCAAGAGCCAGCCAGACCAATCTTCCCCGCCCCCACCCCACCACTGTTGTTGTTGCTGCTGCTGCTGCTGCTGCTGCTGCTGCTGCTGCTGCGGGTAGTTAGTCATTGTCCGCCTACCGCCCCCACCTCACACTCACAGCATGTAAGTTCACGCTTATGGGAGCCAGGTGGTGGTGTGTCTGGCTTGGGCCAAGTGCATGAAACTCATCATCTCATTCGATTCTCACGACCTCTGAAAGGTGTGTGGCCATGATTACTGGAAAGACCCCCAATTACAGAGCAGGACACTGAGGCTTAGAGAGGCTAAGTGCCCCCACTCAGACAGCTGCTATGTGGATGAATCAAGGTTCAAACCAGCTGGTGGACTGTAAACATCTGCCCTAACCACTAAGCTTTCTGGCCTCCAAATGTCAGTGGGGTGCCTGCTTGGCTCAGCATCGGTCCTGCAGAAAGTAGGCCGACTGTCTTTTCTTTACAATGTTTGCACTCCTGCCTCTCTTCCTTTCAAGACACTTTCATGCACCTTTCTCCTCCAACATAGGCCACCAGGAGGAAAATAAACTACAGATGACAGCAAGCATAGTTCTGGCCCTAGCTCTACCATCAAAAGTTGAAATTACCTTAACCTTCCAAGCCTCAGTTTTCTCATCTATAAAATGGGAGTGTTGTAAGCTCTCACATCCCAGAATTGATAAATCAGTTCTTCACAAACATGAGTTTCTTTCTCCTTTCCTCCCTTGGTTGCCTCAGGAAGGTCTCTTTATTGCATCTTTACATCTCGTGAATTCTATCAACAACATTGGTAAGAGAGGCTTCTGGGTGTGATGGGGGAGTGACAGACATGGCTACCTTTTTAGGGTTTGCTGCTCCCAACTAACACACATGGAAACAGAGAGGACATTGAAGTGTAGGGGAACAACCTAAGGAAGAGGCCACAACATGACACATTCAGCATACAAAACAAATTCTGTTTGGCCCCATTGGTTTAGACTTTTTGCCAATATTTATAAATCAAGAAATTTCATACAAAATCCAGATTGGTGGGACCGTTTTGAACTCAATACCAGGCCCACAGACTTTTATGCAACATCTCATGGTGAGCCATTCTGGGTGGATGGATGGGAATGAATCCTTCAGTTTGTCGCAATCCCTACCACTCCCTATTATCATGCCTTGTTCACCTAGCCAGAGCCTTTTCTGTGGGTTGTAACCAATGGTGTCTTCATTTCAGAACCTGACAGAAAATGACATACAGAAGTTCCCCAAACTGCGAATGCCGTAAGTACTCCCCTGATTCTTTGGATGGTTTGGAGAACAGAGGTTGAGATAAGGAGTGGATCAGGGTAGTTGAGTCTATTATCAACCACTGTTGGTTTAAAGTAGGAAAGTGAATAGGAAGGTTGAAGGCAAGAGCAGAGTAGGGGGAAGAGAAGTTCCATGATATTTGGGGGGAAGGAAGTAACAGATCCAGCCCAGCTGGCATGTTGGCTGCTCTTACCAAAGACAAGCCCAACTCAGCATGTTTCTTCCCTCACTAGTGGGGTGGTTGAGCCTATCAAAGCAGCACCAAAGTCAAGAAACTGAATTTTCATCACGACATCATCACTGACTCAGTGTTGATTCCATTTTCTAGACCTCAGTTTCAGCTCTGTAAAATGAGAAAGTTTGATGAGATGAAGGACAGCAATATTGACAGAAACAATCAACTCGTCAATACTGGCTGTTTGGTAATGGCTGTCATGGGCATTGTAGTGTGGAGAATTTTGAGAAAAGTGGGGCATGATCCATTACTGACATCTGACATGAGTGCTGAAATAGGAAAATGCAGTGTGCATATCATGCCATGCATTTCACCTTCCTATTAAAGGTGCCACAAATTTTAGGCTTATAGGAGCCAGGCATATGATATAAATATGTAAAATAGGAGGGTTGAAAATAAAAAAGCAAATTAAATTACTTCTCTTTCATTTAGCACCATTGAGTAAAACATTAGGATGGGGAACTATTTCTCCACTATAAAAATAATGCACACTTACGATTATTACAAAAGATAATCAACACAAAACCTCCTTATTGATGAGCAATAGAGAATGGTGGAGATTGTGAAAAATCAGAATCATGCTCTATCCAAGAAAGCAGCATCTGCTCAGCTCCAGGCAATGTGGACCCAATGATGTCTGACTTTTAAATTCTTAACAATAGCCGGCAATAGGGGTTTTATGCAATTCATTTCTAATTTTCATTGTTGGCTCAAATAAAGCCAAAGTAAACATAACTGTAGGTTAAACTTACTCTGGATCACCAGTTTGAGATCTCTCTAAGACTCTTGAAGCTTGTAGTGATGAAAGGGAAATAGGCCAAGGGTGCAGGAGGTTGGAAGACCTCACAGGTAGTCGGACTGCCAGAATAGTTCAATATAGGAATTAGGATTCTCAAGTTTCCCTCTTCAGGAAGAAAAGTGCTAGCTCTCTACAGGGACAGGTGTTATTGAAGAATGCTTATTCTTCCCAAAGGTCTTCTCTAATCACTATTTTAATTTAAATTTAATTATCAATTCAGCTCCTCAGAGGTCACATTTCAAGAATTCGGTGTCAACATGAGCTACTGTCTTAGAGAGTGCAAATATAGAACATTTCTATGACTACAGAAATGTGATGCTCTAGGAAAAAGATCTTAGTTTATGTGAAAAGAGAACTTAACATACAATGGTCAGAATTGCTGACTGGTGAAACAGATCCAGTCTGAAGACATATTAAACTTGATCCACAGAGAGTTTTAAAATCAAGAAAGTTTCCATAAAAGCTAGCTTCTCTAGAAACATGGATGATATGCTTATCTAGTGTTCATTTTCTATTGTGGCAACATTACTTGGATCTTAGCATCTGTACTCCATTTAGTGGGGCTTGTGCTCCCCCAGCTCACTTTAGACGTACCATTCTCAAGGGCATTATCTTAAGATGCTTCAGTCATTTATATCACATGCATAGAAAGTTTGTGGGACTTTTTTTCTTTATTTTTGTATAGAAGAACTGGCTTGTAGGCCAGAGGTACAGAGGCATGAGATAGAGGTGGGAGCAGAACAGGCAGAGTGACTGAAATATAGTGCTCAGAGGAACAGCGGGTGAGACAGGAGAGGTCTGCTGCATGTGGGTCAGCTCCCTGGCTGGAGATCAAACTCAGCTTGTAGTGGTGGTAGAGCTGAGACTTAACCCCCAGCCACCAAGAAGACCAGATTGACTTTGGTTTTTGACTGAGAGTCCAGAACCACCCCCAGCTGTATTAACCAAATAATCAGACAAAATATAAGTAGCCACAGCTTTTCAGACACCGAACACCAGACATGGAAAACAAAGGCAGCCAGCTGTCTGCTTGCAGCTTTGAGAGTTTGCTAAGCACAGCACAGGGACGAGGGAACACAGTTGAAGCCTGTGAACCTAAGTGAAGGGAAGAACTTAGAGGCAAGTCTAGAGGGTACTGTCTGTGTTCTACAGAGGAGAGAACTGCACATAAAAATGTGCTGGTGAGGCCCTCCCTGGTGGCGCAGTGGGTTAAAGCACTGTACTAAGAAGCTGAAACCACTTCCGCATGAGTTCGATTCCCACCTGCCCCGGAAGAGATCCACATGGCGCGGCAGACCTCTCCTGACCCGCCCGCTGCTCCCCTCAGCAGTGTACTTCGTTGATCTGCCTGTTCTGCTCCCCACTCTGTATCTGGTGAAGTCTTTCGCCACCCCTGAGTCTCTGGCCTGTACCCCAGTTCTGTATGCACAAATAAATAAATCTTTAAAAAAAAAAAATGTGCTGGTGAAGTGCAGAGGTCACCCTTCAGCAGCGCTGGCCAGTGTACCCATGTAAGGAGATGGCCTAAAGCTGGCAATTGAATGGCAAAGCAGCTAGCCATGGGGTGGCAGTGGTGACTATTCCAGCCACATACGAAAACTCCAGATTCACAGTGGCTGGGTAATATACACAGGATGATCTTAGCTCCATAGTGTGGCAAAATTAGCCAGGTCTTAAAAATTGCCTGGCCTCGATAAACAAACCTTCAGAGTTAGAATGAAAAAAAAAAAAAAAAACTATTTTCAAGCAAGTTAACTATACCCCAAAGCAAAGTTTTAGAATATTTACAGTAATGTAAACATTATTTATAACTCAATAAAGTAAAATTCACATTATTGAATGTCGAATCAGAGATTAATAGGCATAGAAATAATTAGAAAAATATGACCTATGATTAAGGGAAAAAATTACCACCAAAACCATCCCACAACTAACACAGACATTAGAATAGCAGACAAGGAGAATATAACTAAATTCTCTGCATTCAAAAGGTTAAGTTGAAGCATGGGATATACTGAGGCCCCAAATAGAAATTCTAGTGATGAATAAACTATTAATATCCGAGATGAGAAATACACAGCTTAGAATTAACAACATATTAGTTGTTGTAGATGGAATGTTAGTAAACATGAACGCAGAGCAATGGAAACTACCCAAAATGAGTCACACAGAGAAATAAAACAAGGGAAAAGAAAATAAGGGAAAATTCAAGTAATATGATATAATAAAACTCTAAGTTATAGTTAAAAAGGTTATTGTGTACTCCATGATATATGTATATTTTCCATCCAAAGAAGAGCAAAGAGTTTGATGTGGAAACAGGGAGCAGAGTTGGAAATAAAGTGTTTGAAGAAATAATGGCTTTAAAATGACTGAAATGGGCTGGAAATGATAAACCTACAGATCCAAAATGTTCCACAAACTCCAAATTCAATCTGTAGAAACAGGTTTAGAAAACTGCACAAAGGCACATGATAATAAAATTGCTTAAAACCAAAGGTCAAGAGAAAAATCTTAAAATTAGTGAGAGGAAAAAGGATACATTCTATATGGAGGAGCAGATTTAAGGATGGCAGCTAATTGCCCATCAGGAACAGTGCGAGAGAGAAGATAGGGAGGAGGAAGGTTTAAAATACAGAAAGAAAAATACTATAAGCTAGATTTCAGTAACCAGCAGGAATATCTTTGGAAACTAAAGACGTCTTCAGACATAAATCAAAAAGAATTTGCCAGTTGATCTGCACTAAACAAATGTAAAAGAAATTCCTTCAGGCAGAAGGGACATGATACCAGATGTGAATCTGGAGCTCTACAGAGGAGAATATGAGAAAATGTACTGATGTGAATCTCCATGGAGAGACTTGGTCATTTCAGTTTGAAGCTCTGGGACTTCACACAATCTTAATTTCATTTCATGAACTTTTTCATTTCACAAACTGCTATTGCTGCTTGCAATGTGTCAGAGCTTTGTTAATTATGCAGGCTAAGGAGTTAAGGGGCAAAATCCACACTCTCGGACACTCCCCTTCTGAAGGGAGGGTCAGCAATACAAACAGAGCACTTAAGCTCTAGTTCCACAGTGCTTCAACACGTGCATGTATGTGGTAGGAAAGCCCAGGCTTCTAGGAGGAAAAAAACCTAAGAGGGATTTTGAATTAGGCCAGGCCTGGTCTGATGAGGAGTGGTTGAAGGACATTCGAGCAACAAGGGACCAATTATTGCAAAAACACAGGCATCAGTGTGGGGTCAAAGGAACATGACAACCTGGGGGCCATAAACTGCTGGGGAGTAGATGGCAAAGAAAGTTACAGTGACTGCTCGGGGCATGGGGTGGGCTTCATAGTTTGGAAGGGGTATGTGAGCTGAGTCCCGCTCTCTCTGAAGTTGTATGAAAGTTGACATGAGGGAGGCCCCCTGGCGGCATGGAGACACAGACCTGAGTCCATTGATGAGATGTGGGCTTCACCTAGGCTGTGGCCATGAAGACCTGGGTGGCAGGGGATTTCATCAGAGTGGTAGAAGGGAAGAGGTAAAGGAGGTAGTTTCAGCTTCAAGTTCCTTTTTTGTCTGAAGCCCTAGCACAAGCTGCCTGAGGGTCTGCAGAAGGAGGTGAGGTGAAAAGTGGTTGCTGGTTAGTGTAGACCTTACATCACAGGTGCGGTGGGGGGAAGGTATTTCTCTTGCTTTTTGAAAATGGAGTCAGAAATAGCAATGGCTCCAACCTCCCCTGCTAAAGGTGTGTGCTCCTGTGCTCAGACAAGCCCCAAAGGCTGCCTCTCAGCGTGAAGGGAACTTGGGGGATAGAGAAGGCATCCCAGGAGACAATGAGAGTTACTGTCTCACTTGCAAGAAATGTGTAACAAGTCTCAACTCCAGGAGCAGTGTGGCTGGAATGTACCCCAAAACCACCCTCAGATTCCTAGTTTTTTAAAATGCATG